TAGGAGTGATGGTTGGGATGGGGCTGGAGGTGCATCCACAGAAGAGGCTGAAAATAGAAATTCCAGCGAAGAACATGACCCCCCCCACCCAGATACTATATCAGCTGAGGGAGGCATGGAGGGAGAGAGAGAATCACAGGAAGAATGGGGCTGGCTGGGCAGTATTCCCATGCCAGCTCTCAGCTGGAATGAGGATGCTCCTGGCATCCCCAGGGCAAGGCAGCCCCCGGGTGCACCCCCTAGCCAGGTGCCTGCAGGTGAGCAGCTGCTGAGCTGAGTCAGGGCTCTGGGTGCTATTCCTGGCTCGCCACTGACTCATTCCCTTGGGCAAGTTACTTCCCTTTTCCTTTTTATTTCAGCCACTTCGATGGGAAATCACTTCCCAGAGCTCCTGAACTGGGCGGGGGGGAGGGAGATACACAGCCCAAGCTCAGCCTAGGCACAAGAATTCCAAGCTCTCCTCCTGGCATCCCTCCCCGGGGGTGGAAGGATGCAGCCAGTGCTGGGGAAAAGGGATGCAGCTCCCATGGAAGCTGACAGGGAGGGATGTGAGCTGCTTCAGCATCCATCTGGGACCAGCTTTAGTCCAGCCTACGGGAGATGCATCAGCTTTTTTGTGACGCTGCCTCTTTGGGTATTAAAAATGGGATTTCACTCTGTGCCCTAACAAATTCCTCACCTGAAGAGAGGCAGGGAAGGAAGAAAACAGAGGAATCCCAAGGAAAAATAGGAGTATGAATGGAGACTCTTACAAATAACCCCAGGAATGACACCCTCCTGCTCCTTGTTCACATCCAGGTGCTCCAAGCACATCCATCCCGATGTGCTCTTTGCCCCTGGAAGTTGGGACTCAAACAGAATGAGGCACATTGTGGCCAAAGCCAGAGAAGCAAAACTCCTCCTGGATCACAAACACCCGGAAAGGGCAGGGAACATTCCAGTTTCAAGGTTTCATGCTAGAGAGGGTCTGCAGGGAGAAGGAGCCAGCGAGACCCTGGGAATTCTGGTTATCCCTGCTGGGCTGGGCTGGAACAGGGAGCCCCAGGCCCGATTGCTACGGGAACAGCAGGAACAGCATCCCCAGCACCCACCCTGCGGCGCAGGGAGCATCGGCACCATCTGGTAGGTGAATCAGCCTGCAGACAACTTGCTGGCAGCTCTGCACAGAGGCCCCCCCAAGTCGGAGGTGAGATGGAACACGTGCTCCCTGCACCTCCCCTCGGCCCCCCCTGCACCTGTGTCCCTGCAGCAGCTCCCTTCCCAAAAATACTGCAGGGAAACGCCCACGGAGGGAGCTGAGCCTGGTTTCGTCCTCCTCCCGGTGCTGGACCACCCCATGATCCAGGGTATGAGGTGCCAGAGGTTCAAAGCTCGATTAGATCTCAGTCCTGTCCCTCTCCAGCCTAAGGAAAAGGGTAAGGGGAGAAGGAAGGAGGAGGAGGAGTGGTAGCAAGTCCCTGAAGGAAGCTGGAGGATGGAAGTGAAAGCTGTGGGATATTTAGGCCACCTCTTCCTGCAAATCCTTAGTGTGGAGATGACCCAGCAACTTCCTCTCTGCTCACCAAGTACCATAAGAGACTCTGAAGATGAGCCCTGAGTGCCTCATCACCTCAAACTAGATCCAACCCTGAGCTCAGGACTCCAAATTCAAGGAGATGACATGCCCAGATGAATAAAGCCACCAAATTCCAGTGGGTAATGTGCAGCCAGGGCTCAAACTGCAGGACAGGAGTACCAGGAGTGTCCCAGATCCATATAAAACAGCAAAAATTCACCTCCAGCTGCTCTTTCCATGGCTACATCTGATGCCAGCTTGCTCCTCTGCCAGGCCCAGACCCATCTCACCTCCCACCTGTCCCCACACTGCTCCCTGTGCCATCCCACTGAGGTGACAGAATTCCTGGAGAGGGGCATTAAGGATTGCTGTGTATTCACACCTTGATCCAAGAGCAATTCCCACGAGGTGTGACCCCAGGTGCTCTGTGGGAGGATGCCCACCAAAGTGGGGCAGAGCCAGTGCCTCACCTGTGCCCGGACCAGGGACTCAAAGCTGGGTTTGAAGTAGTCGATGCGGCTGCTGTAGAACTTGGGCATTTCCTCCAGGAGCTGCTTGTTTTTGGCTTCAAAGTCCTCCTTCACCGGGCGCAGCTCCTCACGGGCCTGGGAGGGGAAGGAAGGTGGGAATCAGGTACTGGGAAATGCTCTTCCTTTGGGAAAAACTTCCAAGAGGTCAGTACAGCACAGCAGAATGCTCTGCTTTGATCCAAGGACAACTGGTGACAGCCAGTGGAGTCTGGTGGGACTCATGGGACCATCCAACAGAGCCTGATGGGAGTCAAGTGATCATCCAGTGGAGCCTAGTGGGAAGGGAAGGAAGGTGGGAATCAGGTACTGGGAAATGCTCTTCCTTTGGGAAAAACTTCCAAGAGGTCAGTACAGCACAGCAGAATGCTCTGCTTTGATCCAAGGACAACTGGTGACAGCCAGTGGAGTCTGGTGGGACTCATGGGACCATCCAACAGAGCCTGATGGGAGTCAAGTGATCATCCAGTGGAGCCTAGTGGGAACAAATGACCACTTAATGGAACCTGGTGGGACCCAAGTGACCATCCAGTGGAGTGGAACCAACTGACCACTTAATGGAACCTGGTGGGACCCAAGTGACCATTCAGTGGAGTTTGGTGGGACCAACTGACCATGGAACCTGGCCTGGTGGGACCCAAGTGATCACTTAATGGAACCTGGTGGGACCAAGTGACCATCCAATGGACTCTCGTAGGATCCAAGCTCTGACCCTGGCAAGCCACGGAACACCCAGAGAGGCTCTGAGCCAGTTGGTCGTTTCTCCTTTGGAAAAACATGGACAAAAACCAGCCCTGAAGCTCAGTCACACCGGAGAACATCTCTGGTCAAATCCATGTCTCCCTCACCCTGCAATTCCCAGGAGCATCGCTCCAGGATCCTTCCCCCACTGTCACCCTCACCCGTGACCTTCAGCTCAGCACATCCAACTGGCTCCTTTAAACAGAAGCGTGGGGAGAAAGGGAAATGTCTCAGGGATGGTGTGGAAAAGGGCAGGAGGGGGTGGGCAGTGAAACTTTAGACCGGTTCAAGTCTGCCACTTAATCCCGAGGCCATTCCGACGGGAGGGGCTGCGGGAGAGCGGCGGCGCCGGGACAGGGACAGCATGCCACAGGGATGGATGGCATGGACACAGCTCCAGGCTGGCAAAACCTTAAATCATCCCAGTCTGGGAGGCAGAGGAGCAAATCCATCATTTGCCATGGAACAGGGAGTGCTGAAACTCCCAGGATGGATCACGAGCAGCAAGCAAAGAGCAGAAAACTTGGAGCAAACGACTGAGGTGAATTTGCAGCTCCGTAATTAAATACCTGGATGAGCTGATGCTGTTTGCCAGCTAATCTAGGCCCTCTCGGATACCCTGGATTCAGGACTGCTCAAGGCTCCTTCCCACAGGCATTTGAGCTCATGCAGTGCTTAGTTAAGAATATTTTGGGGTAAATTAGATCAGCAGTTCATTAAGGGAAAAAACCTAAATGAAATAACTAAAACCTGCTTAATCACCAGGACAAAAGCATTCCCATTTTTCCAGCCCCAGCTTTAGTCACTGAGGCTGAGCAGTGTAAGCTGCTTATTATGGAATCAGAGGTCTCTTTTGTTCAGGCTCTTCTTTAACACAAAACTTCCATTTGGGGAGAAACTCATCAGAAAAACACATTTGCTTTGAGGCTGAGAATCAATTGTTCCTTCGAGGATGGAGCCACGTGCTGCCACAGCCAAGGATTTGGGGAGACACTGGGGAGGATTTCATAAAGAAACAACTAGTTTCACTAAAATTTGGGAGAGAGAGAGAGCAAAGAATCTGGCAAAAAAACCTTCCTGTTAACCAATTACTGCAATTTTCCAAGACAAATTCTGGGAACAGGTGGCAAACATAAAGCTGGGAAAGGCTCTGATCTGTCCTTTTCCCATCCAGCTGCTCACTCGGACATGGAGGTTGGAGGGAATCCCCTGTGGATTGACCTCAGCGCTGGCTGCTCCTCTGAGCATCCCCAGATCCGGGGCTTTGATCCCATTTTAATGTGGGAAATCTGCCATTTTATCTTTGAAAAGTGGCTCCTTCCCTTCCCTCAGTCCTTTCCTTCACACTTCTGTTACTGACATGCAATTTTCCATGGATAAAAGACATCCTTCCAAAATGGTAGATTTTGTGGGGGGTGATGGATGTCAGATGCTAAAAGCTCTTCCTGAGTTTTCTCAGGAATTCTGCTGGGATTATGGCTCTGTGGGTAGCTTGGTACCTGGTGCAGCTTGGCCAGGTTGGCGCCAGTCTTCTCCTTCTCCTCCTGTTTCTCCACCTTATTTTGGAGGCGTTTGTACTCCTGGAGTGCCTGCTCTCTCCTCTTCACTGTGGGGGGTGATGGATGTCAGATGCTAAAAGCTCTTCCTGAGTTTTCTCAGGAATTCTGCTGGGATTATGGCTCTGTGGGTAGCTTGGTACCTGGTGCAGCTTGGCCAGGTTGGCGCCAGTCTTCTCCTTCTCCTCCTGTTTCTCCACCTTATTTTGGAGGCGTTTGTACTCCTGGAGTGCCTGCTCTCTCCTCTTCACTGCCCCGTTCAGGGAATACACTG